ATGTACCTCTGATTATATGAATGATATTAGAGAAGTGAATCAATCGTATGGAATGTTTACGTGCACGGCTGACAAAGTGTATCATTATTAAATAGCTGTGAATTATAAAAAGAATGCTAGATGTGAAATATATTTACAAACCATGGCATGACCTGCTGGGATACCATACTCTGTCGCGATGTTCCACGTCGGCATATAGTGTTTACAATAATCTTCCAATGCCACCATTACACCTATAAGTACAGATGATATACGCGATGTACATACTTAAATATTCAATATTAAAAAATGCGTTGATCGCCCATGAATATGAATTTGTTTGATAAAACAATGAACTGCTTCCAATTAGTAGTACGTACTGTAAAATCAAGGCGCATGTGCACACGCGCAGTTCATCCAACGTAGTGTGCTCTGCAACACTAATACCAGTTAAAGTTGTTCATATTGAAATATACCCTTATATATATATATATACGAAAAAAAAAACGCTTTACCGATGTACTTAATAAATACACTGAGAGCAATATAACAATATAATATAAGGTTATTACGAAGATATCCCAAAGTATACACGAAGGCAGTACGGCGGGAGTATCGACCGACACGCAGCGGAGGTCGATGCGACAGCGTACTGTCTAATTTTCACTGGGTTTAAATTTCACTGATTTACCATTTCAGGCATATTCAGTGGGTTTTAAATTCACGGTTTTATCATTTAGATAATATGTTTTATGCTAAATTTTACATATTCACTGGGTTTTAATTTAGCGCATTTTCCAGTCAGCGAAATAAGCCAAATTAAAACCCAGTGAATAATTAACCATTTTACAGTATTATACATCTTGTCCCTAACCTTATTATTATACATCATGGGAATGCCGAAATCCAAAAAGTTTAGAACAGAATCAGCGAACTTCTTTGTGTGGAGTTCGATCAAATCCTGGTGGCAGCCATGTTTGTTTTTATTATTAGAGGACGCTCACGCGCGTATTCATTCCATATTTGGAATTCGCATTTTCTAATATGGTAGTAGAAAAATACCTCGTAAAATACCGCAAAATTACGGCATGCTGTAACTTATGGCGTTACGGTGACAGATGTATAATAATATCTAATATATGGACAAACAATATACGAAAACGATTAATCTATTTATGAATTACCTGGGTCGACAGTATTATCCATTGATCCACTGAATAGCCATGTTTTGCCACTTGCGAAGTTAGACGTAGCATCGATGTCGCCTTTTGAAGCGCTGCTATCGGTGTAATCAATGAGGTCTTGTACAATTATCTCTTCGGGGCTATTCATACAGGCGCCTATCGCCTTTGACACGGTGTCCTCCGCGCAGTGGTAAGGCCCTGCAAATGACAACGATGGCCATAGTTAGATGGAGTGAGGGTAAGCGATGACCGCCTGTATGAAACCATGGTGTTACGGGAAGTAAAATATGCATACAACCTTGAGTTACCATAATCATTCTCAACAAACGTGAAGCGTTATGCCTATTTTTGTTGTCGTTGTTGTTGTTTTGTTGTTTGGTATTTATTTGAAAACAAATAATCTCAATTTCCTGTTTGCTATATGTCATGATAATGTTTGTGTAAAATATAGAACAAATGTAAAAGGTGCCCTAAGCAGAGCAATTGGCGGATATTTTTCAGAATACCCGGATGTACATTTAAGACCATAATAATGAAATATCTGGATTTCTTATAATGGTTTGTACTCTTGTTATGATTGGTTTGATCACATGTATCACATGCATCATGTGTAATCAGCTAAACCTAATGGTATTTTGTTCGTCAGTTTAAAACTATCGAAATGTATATATTTTCTGTGCGCCTATTTGGCAATTTCTGTATTTTTAGTTTTTTTACCAACTACTAGTCGCAAACTTTTATTTATAATTCATCAAATTTGTCACGAAAATTGATTAAAAACTGTGTATACCGCTTATGTCTACGCGAAAATTTTAACATTATGTCACTAAAAATATTTCACAAAATAACTCTTCAATATAAGTTCAAATGTAATATAATGCATTCAAATGTGGTTATTCTCATCATATTATGGAAATAATGTTTACGCCTAGTCACCACATGAATCATGGCGTTAGGTTGATTTTACATTATCGTTGTACCGTTCACGGACGAGGCTATCCCGGAAAGGAAAATAATAATATTATTAAAATACAATTATACATAATAATGGTACAAATTAAAACAAACAAAACAAATAGAATATGAATGCAGCAACAGCTGAAATGGGGGAGGAGGCAAATGGTATTTTAATATTACCTCCAGCAAGGACACCGGAACCCATGACACTTGCCGAGTAGGCCACGTGCATTTGGATGGCCATGTAACCTCCAGATGAAACACCACTGGCAGACACTTGGTCCGCATCAGCTCCATAACTCCCTGGTGACAAAAATAAAACATATAACAAAACTTATTAGCTGAAATAAAAAATGCAATAACCGCAATATCAGTAATATTATCTCCGCCTCGCATCGTATTGTATAGCTCGGAGTGCATATTTAAGCCCGAACGGCATAGTCCAATTATAGAGAACTGTGCAAATAGTAAATATTTGTCGCCCTTGAAACGAGTCGAGAATTGATGATTGGTAATAACATACCTAATGGCGGTGGATCTCCCGGGTCTTCGCACCACCACCACGGGCATTGCCCATAAACAGTGTTGATTAACAACGCACATATAATAATTTGCAGCTTCATTGTTACTGTGTGGTCAGCAGAATAAATGAAATAAACGCGCGTGGGAATATAAATAAACATAACACGTGTAAAACTCCTCGCGTGAGAATATCATTATTGATACTGCTTTAAGTATGTCATGATAGTCTGTGTAATTTATTGGTTATATAATGATTTAAAAGATTATTAAACTTAACTTAACAGCTTGTTTCAAACATTGTGTATTTCAATGTCACTATTTGAATAATTGTGGGGCATTGCTCTGTTCGCTTATTTATATTTATTTCATGATTCATCACTATAGCCATTTTTATTTGTGAGTAGAAACATGGAAGGTAGTAACGTTAGTACCTTCCATGGCATAAGCTACGTTAAAGGGCGGTAGTCGTCTCGACAGGCATGCGCGTTTAGTTGTTTCGCAGATCGACGTGTATAAACCATGGTCATATCAATAAGTATATATTCTCTTAAGTTCACCGCTGAGTTCGTGATTTCGGTTTTTGCTGTGCGTCAGGCAGCCGATAGCGTCACGTAACGAGTTTTTATCCCGACTCCCTATTGAGACCGAGTCGAGTTTTATTCGGTACGTGCTGACTCGGTACCAACTCTCAATACGTAGCGAGAACCATAACGTGAACGCCAAACCATTACAACAATGCACCCATTGCACACCAATGTGTTACACGTGGATGTCTGTGTACAAAAAATAGTTGCAGTTTTATGTAGATAACTTAGTGCCCGCCTCACTCTACAACATGCACATCTACTGGAGACCGGTATACAAACATTTTGCAAACTCAAAAACATACATATCATGACCACATAACATTTTGACTTACAAAATTGAGATCAGGCAGCCACACATCTATAAAATTCTGCCTAATCATGGTATCGCTACTCCACCGCCCTTTAAAAAACAACATAAATTGTTCATCTGAACATGGCATTAAAATGACTGGAACACGCATGTGCACATTTTCAATTTATGCTGTCGGGTATCATAGTACTTTCCAATGTCTGATTTTAGTGTCGATGTCCGAAAAGTGGAAAATATTAGGATTTTGGTGATTTGGGGACATTTTCAATGAATATATAATCGGACAGACACTCAGTATTACGTCCAGCTAATGGTCGTTTCCCCCATTGTGTATTAATCGAGCAGCAAGCCGTAGATATATTTACATAATGATTACATTTGGAGTTATAACAGCACTATTCATTCAAAACACAACAAACTATTTTTTCTCGAAGATTCGTTTTATTTTCAACATAATATTGCAAACTATCTGCCCTCAAATATTCAACGTTCAACGACTTGAGATTAAACTGCTGGTCGAGGAATGCACGTTGTAGAAACAACCGGCAAAGTGGGTTCCGGTTCCGGTAACACGCACTGATAGTGCACCAACTGTGACTCCATCACCTCGCATATACCATATACAGAGACCACGCGGTCGATGATATTCTTCACAAATTCCATTTGTCTCCCGGATTTAAGATCTGCAAGATGAAGAACACATATTTATTCTAGAAATGACAACAAATAATCTTAAAGGGCGGTAGTCGTCGCGCCGCGCATGTGCAACATAAGCATTGATTTTCCCACAATCCAATGCGCTTTTTAATGAAATCTGAAGTACGAATTTTGTCTTGTGTCCCACTTGCACTAATTACCTCAGGCGACTCCTCCGATACCTCATAATCACCAACAAAAATATCAAATTAAAGCTTGGTAACCTCGCAGTTTGTACTTGCTGGTGTCAAAATCGCCATCTTTGTTTATATGAGACCCATATCTCGCACATGCGTGGTGCGACGACCACCGCCCTTATAGCAATCAAGATTTGTTTTTGATTTTCATATTGTGTTCAATTCTCTCCCATCAGCTGTTTTACTGATATATGTTACCATTGTATTTTAAACAATAGATACGATAGCGGGAGGAAAAAAAAACATCACTTATTTAGGGACAAACTCAGATCCCGTGGAACTCTCGCTCTTACTGAGATCTCGACAGCCACTCAGTTGGCAATAATATACAGTATTTGTTTAGTGTAAATTGTCCTTGTGTGTACAATATGTAATTTATTCAAACTTTGTAGAGTTCCTTAGTCCTTTGAACACTAAAGTGAATGTCACGTTTCACAAAATAGGTGACATACTGTGTTTCAATAAATATACTTAGTGAATGCAAAATCGTGTTAATTTGGTTCAAATCTCACAAAAAAAACATATACAAATTCCCAAAATGCTACACAAACATCTTAACGAAAAAATCACGTGTTCAAAAGATGCGTATATAATAATTTATGAGAAAGTGTGGTCACAGTAATGTGCATGTTAATCTGGTTTACATACAGTAACGTGCGTGATAATCTGGTTTACGAAACAGTAACATACGTGGTAAACTGGTTTTACGAAACAGTAACGTGCGTGGTAAACAGGTTTACGTCACAGTAATGTGCGTCTTAATCTGGTTTACGAAACAGTAACGTGCGTTGTAAACAAGTTTACGTCACAGTAATGTACATGGTAATCTTTATTACGTCACAGTAATGTTCGTGGCAATCTTGTTTACGTCACAGTAATTTGTGTGGTAATCTGGCTTACATAATAGTAATATGCATGGTAATCTCGTCGGCACAATAATGTGCGCGGTAAACAGATTTACGTCACAGTAATGTGAGTGTTAATCTGGTTTACGAAACAGTAAAGTGTGTGATAATTTGGTTTACAAACCAGTAATGTGATAATCTAGGTCATGTAACAGTAATGTGCGCGGGAGTCTGTTTTACGTCACAGTAATGTGAGTAATAACCTTGTTCACGTCACAGCAATTATATTGGTAGTCTAATTTACGTCACAGTATGTGCGTGGTAATGCGTTTACTGCACAGAAATGTGGTAATCTGGTTTACGTCACTATTAGCGTGGGAATCCGGTTTATGTGGGATTTTAATTCGAGATTACTAAACGTGTATTGTCTACTCACCATAACTAGCATTGGTGTAACCCCACCTGCGATAAAACAAAAATAATGTATATGAACGTTATTTTTTGTGACTCTAATTGACGTGTTTTAAACAAAGTACCACTGTAGTAGTTAATACTTATTTTATCCAAAATACAATGATACTTTTTAAGATGACCGCCCCATATCTGTTATCGTCGATATTCAATATTATTAACCATGCCGAGGATACATTTAGATTTACGTCGAGTTAAGTTGTTTACTTTGACATAAGAGAAGAAGAACGATTTTGTATATCCTTCTTACCAATCAAAACATCCTCTAGTATTTCCAATCGACGACACAGCCTGTGGATACACTACGATGATATTATTTAAATCTGCAACTTCATTATACCCAGAATTCAACGCAAATTCGTCTACAAGCACTTCTCTGAAAAATGATTACATTAGTGATTTTGTTATGTTACGTTTTGTTGTGATGGGTCGGTTTGCGCTGCTTCATATTATGAACTTCGTTACATGTTATAGCATGTTACGTTATTTTATATTATGTTATAAACATCATCATAATGATTATGTAATTCTCACCTGCCTTGGTCACAACCATGGAATACAATATGTACTTTACATCCTGTAAGAGTGTTAAATCGTAATTATTTTTATTGTAATGATTCGCCACATTTGTTTCCCATGAATCCTCCTGTGATATCAGGTTTGTAATGTAGTAATACACACTATGATATACTCGCTATCATATGCTAAGAATGCCTGTACTGTGTATCACATCAGTGTACTTATGAGGGTGACATGAATGCGACTAAATTGTGACCTGTCGCAATACTGTGTACATCCAAGGACTACATATCTCAAAGATATGGACTATATAGTCTTGACTTCCAATAAAGCGATCATATGTGTAATAATGAGACTATAAAAATTATGTACCAAGGACAATATTTCATGGTGATCATTGCCTATACAACAATTAACGCATCTTCAAAATACAAATTAAACTACGTTGGCATGGTCACGTACACTGATGACGATATTTGTGTTCACAGATGGGGTCACTGTTATAATATACTGACCTGCGTAGTCATTGCATTTATCCGGTACATAGATGTATCCCGTGTCATCTAAACTAGATGTCCCAACACCGGAAGGTTCCAGTTCCGTCTGGTCAAACTCTAATAGCTAGAAAAAAAAGTACAATTTCTTCAAAATTTGTTTTAACGTGTACTTCATTTGGCTAATATTTTCTTCTAAATAACATTGTTGTAGTTATTGTTGTTGTTCTGCGTGTGATCACAGATAAAGTTTAATACGTTGCGAGCTTACCTGGCCGGACAGTACGCCACCATAAGACAACGGTTCCTGAAAGAAAATGTGAACACAAAACAAGACCAAGGTAAACCCACTTTGAAAGTAATATATATATATATATTAACTCATCTATATTATTATTATGCATCTGTCACCGTAACGCCATAAGTTACAGCGTGCCGTAAATTTGCGGTATTTGACAGGGTATTTTCATCCCACCATATTAGGAAATGCGAATTCCAAATATGGAATTATTACGCGCGTAAGCGTTCTTCTAAAAATAAAAACAAACATGGCTGCCATGGTTTGACTGGACTCCATACAAAGAAGTTCGCTGATTCTGTTTTAAACTTTTTGGAATTCAGCATTCCCATGATGTATCCGTGGAAGAAAAAGTTGTATAATAAGGAGGTTATTACGAATATACCTCAAAGAATGCACTCAGACAGTACGCTGTCGCATCGACCTCCGCTGCGCGTCGGTCGATACTGCCGCTGTACTGTCTTCGTGCATACTTTGAGGTATCTTAGTAATAACCTTATATTATTGATCAACAGTCCATTTTTAGAACTTTTAGAATAAATCGTTTAAAATATATACATAAAAATACAACTCCATGTTCAAAGCTTTCCCAATGTTTACTGAATATTATCCCACTTCATACTAACATTGTTATCACTTTTCTTCACACGCAATTGGCGTGATGTCATTGTGTAACAACCGGCAATGTTGGTTTTGTTTCCGCTCGAGATCGTATGCGCAATGGGTTATGGGAATACACATCTCGGCATTGTGAAATGATTTTAGGGAAAGAAACAATCTGAAAAATGATTTTGAAAACAAATTCAAAAACATATATTTTTGGATTTCCTTTGTCTTGAGTTACAAAGGGAAGAAGCTGAATAAAATATATGTCGGGTGTTCAACAACTCGTGTATGAACGATAACTTTAAAGTGCTGTGTTTTGCTGCATAAAAACGAAAGAATTTCACAATGTCGGACGCGGAAAGTATTCATCGTAGTGTTTGTGGCGGACAGGACTATAAATAATAATGACAGACCTTTACAATAAGCACCCTCGAGTGACGAAATTTTTCTGTGACGTAAATGTGTCATGTTCACACTAATAATATGGGTATGAACTATACAGCCATACTTATATCATCTACGTAATCTTGGCGTCATCATACAATCTCTTCCTTATAAATCAGTCTCCAGCCTGAGTTGAATAACGTGTGAATGTGAGGTAACTGAAGCACATGGTCACGTGGTATAATGAGATAATACTATACCTGAAGATTGCCATATATCTGGTTCAATAAATTAAACGCTTCTGGCAAATCACAGTCATTGATGTAAGGAGTTCTGCTTGTATCGCACGCATTCCCGTAGTGCTCCGTAATCTATACAAAACATATATTTTATTACCAGGGTACCACAGGTGTTACACAACTTCAACGTGACACATGCATTCTCCCTCCATCTCTACCTTTTTTCTATATCTATGGTGCATGTAGTATAATAATTGTTCTATAGCATTCATTAAAAGTGTTGTGTCATGACCATTGCCAAATTTCACAAACAACTGTATTTACTAATAGAACTTTATGAAATATCTCGCAATATATGTCACCAGCAATAAATAAAAAGTAAGTTTAAATTATCGAATTAAACAAGAATCCTTTACCCTGGAAGAGTGAATACGAATAATAGTGTAGTAGTATATTACCATAGCGAAATCAGCTGCTACGTCATACTTTGTCGCTATTTGGGACAAAGGAATAAACTCTGTGTAGTAGCTTTCGAGTTGTTTGACAACGCCTGAAAAGTAAATACAGTGTGTGTTGTAGATGAAAGTTTTCCCAGCAGAAAGTCCCTACAATTCCAAATCTTCAAATAAATTTTGACATGCGACTATGCCTAGTAAGGCCATCAGAAATCTAGCTGTCCAATTGCACTCCAGTACACTGCATATCTATGAGCTCGAATGAGTTTTGTGGGAATGACGTCATCCATGTAGGGCATCATTGTCTTTCAAGAAAATCTCAGAGTTCGCCTATACTCTGAGCTAAGCAGTGCGGTCGCCGCGGAAAACACAATTGGTATATGGACCCTGTGAAGTCTGACCTCCTTCGAGTAGTGGGCGGACCTTTCCAGCACAAGGCTGGGATTGCAGATCAGTCCTTCGATTCATTCGTATTAGTATTATGAACACATTTTGGACTTACACCGCAGAAAGTAAAACCACACATAAACACTATAGAGTGCAATGAATAGCCCACTTCCTGGTCGACGTTTGAAACAAGAAGTGCGATCCGGTGCGATGGTCAGTGATAGGTGTAGTAAGTAAATGGCGGGACGTTTAAACGGATCCAGCTGCACCCTCTAACTTGTAGCAAACTGTTTGATCATTTGTCAAAACCTATTACTACATGCCTATTCAATGCCTATTTAGGCGTTGGGTGTGTAAAATGATCCACAGGACCGATAAAAACAGCGACACTTGAACATTTGACATGCAAGACATTTTTCTTACTCATACTGTCTTATTAAAGAACGGCTCTCTTGTTTTCTGACTAATGTCCTCGGAGGGGAGATTAAGACATTGTCCTAGAGACCAAGCCTCCCTCTCGCAGATTTTGGGTAGCGAGGACGAGGGGGAATTGCTGTTTTGTTCCGTCAGAGTCCTGCATATGTATTATTTTAGAATACCTAGGATGAAGGGTTGACCCGGAACTGGTAAATGAGCTTTTTCTCGTTCAAGCTTTATAATAATTTTGCCGGCACCCTCTCCCCTGGTAATAACAACTGATCATTCCCTATGACAGTGCATATTCTCTACCTTGTACGACCGTGGTGTCCAAAGTGCCACTGAACAAGTACACATGGTCGTCTGCAAGATTGGATACGGGATCAATGTCACCGCTGGCTTCTGCTTCATACGTAAACGCTATAAGATCATCTAGTACTATCTTCTCTGGTTCGTCTGAACATTCACCCACAGCTTTTAACGTACTACCCTGCGCACAATGGTATGGTCCTACAGAATAGAGTAACGGTACAAATAACGTAACACGGTGAATACCTCACTACCATAAATGACCCCCGGGGGAGGCTACTTCCACATTAAATGGGTAAGGGTGTGAAGCCCACCTCTCGTATACCATACTCACTTCTAAACCATTTTTTTTTCTATTTATATACCCACTTTTAAACAAAAGTGTTTTTAGCGAAAAAAAACAACACCCAGCTCACAACTTTCGCAACCAGTGAGCGCATCCGGCCGATGCAATTTATTCAGCCTTTTCCGGTATTTGGCCTTGAATATAAGAACCTGTGAAAAATGGAATAAATGCTACACACTTCTAAACCAAACCATTGATAAATGACCACCCACAAAATAACGTGAAATGACACCCCAGTCGGGCGGCACATACCCGTATTACACTTCTATGCAAACTGTCAATGCCACTTCCCGGACACACTATATGTATTACTAGTATCTCGTGGGTACTTTTAATCGGGGTATTAAACAGTTCTGTGTTTTCAGCATTTTGTAGAAGTGACATTTTTCTTTCCCGGGATTATGCAGTCATTTACATGAGCGAATTAGAAGAAGCTCGACCTTGTGGAACCTTGGTTATACACGCACATATCCCACCATGCAATGCGGCAATAACATCATTGAAAATGGTTGCCCCAACAACAAATCTTACATCAGACCTTGATGAACAACTTTGACTCTTTTCTTGTGAAACTGTTTCGATCCCGCATTTTCCATAGTGTGGAAGTGAAATGAACTCACTAAACCGTTGTCCAAGAGCAGAAAACAAATGACAAAGCAATCCACATTTAGAAAAAAGAGTGAGCACATCCTGCTTCACAATTTAGCCTCAATTTTAGTCAAAATGTAGAACTAAAGCGTGATTTTAGATACTATGTCGAATGAAGAACTCTTACAGTGATTTATTTTCATTTTGTTTGTTTTTTTTCCAAAAAAAAGAAGACCAAC